CCATACTAAATATGAATTTTAAAATAGTTACTTCGTTTGTAGATTGAAAAAACAAAACTGAAAACTGTTTTAAGTATTTATCAGGTAAGGTGAAAGAAGCGGTATATGTATTCTTAGTTTTTATTTTATCTAATTGAGTTACAAACAAGGTAATTAAGTTGATATTACACTAAGTATTCATTAATATTAATTATGTATACATACACCACTCCGCGTGAATATCAGGGCTACGCTGAGATAAATGTATAAAGTATGATAAAACAGTACATATAATAAATTAAGTGGTTGAGTTTTTAGTCTAAATAACCTAGACATCGACTGCAGTGCCCTCTACCGGGCTTATTTGTAGAGTTAAGCTATCTGAGGCGCTATCCAAACGTGTACTAAAAATTCATTCAAATCGGTCCAGCCGATTAGACGGATATCAATGACATACCCTTGTACATTAGAATTATATTAATTAACTAGTATAGTTGGGTGTACGTGATCATTTGTCGTTCTAGATTAAATAGGTATATTAAATAAAGTATATATTATAAATTGAATATATTAAGTAAATATATTTAAATATAGTATTGGCTAATCATAAGTTGAAAAATAGTAATCATACATCCTTACGGTTAAGATGACTTTTTTTATAATAACAAAGAACACAATCTAGATAATCAGTAATCACTTAAAGAAACTCATGAAGATGGTTATACCATGTTGCACAATAGCCCCCACTGTATACGGGTTCAACGTTAATCGTCTTCTTCAAGCATCACTGTCGTTGATGAGAATCAGAAAATATTATTAAATTTATAATTAAAATTGAAAGTCTTGATAAAACCTAAGAACAGCCATAGACTGTAGACATATGTAATTAGACTGGTTTTTCTACTGCTGTGCTTTCTCACTTGATAAAATTTCAGGACGCTAACCTTATACTCAAATTGAAAGACAACATTTTAACTTTTTGTCTTTTTCCAAAACAATCTATGGTAAACAATAAATTTTAAAGTACCATGAAATATTGCCGGTATCTATTTTCAAACCTGTTTTTATAAAAATATCATCAATGTTCGATTCGAACTCTAATTTTGAGATAAATTTTTAAGCTTTGTAATCGTTTTGTTTCGTAACTAGGACATTAACAGATTGAGGTGAGATAAAATTAAATATATTCTGAATCATTTCATTGACTGTCGCGTCGATAACGTTATGGCGGATAGCCAAAGACATTTTCATATTTACTGGAAACTACTGAGAAATAATTTCTATTTCAGTTTTGTTTTTGCAGGTTTTAATAAACCTAGTATAATGTATAATTCACTCATATTTATACTATTGTGTGATATCTGATTTAACCTGTCATCAGTGTAAGATATTGATATCCAGATATATATCATGAATAATGGTTTAAAGAAGTAGAGGTCAGGAAATATGAATACCAAGAGAAATGAGGCCACTAGCGTGGGCGTTACCTTCTCGATTTATGTTCGTAGATAAGCTCTACAAAAAAACTACACAAGGTTTTTCTTGGAAATACTTATTGCTAGCTGTTTTAAAAAAGTTTTTGATATACTTTTTTTTATAAAAACAAAACATTTCGTCACGACTCCCATTTTATTATCGATGGAGATCTGTTTTAATAATAAATGAATGCAGATTTTTAACTTTTTAGATATCAACAACTACCTACTATCATTTTAATATTTATAAATATTATACTACTAGCTTTTGCCGCGACTTCGTCTGCGTGGAATAGTAACTTCCGGCAGATTTTTGGTTCTTCCCACATAGTTCCCGTTCTTGCGGGGTTTTCGGAATGGTCGAGTTCCCGTAGAATTTTCAGGATAAAACCTATGTTTTATTTTAATTCACAATGAAATACTCTTAACCAACAACCTATTTATTTGTTTATTTGAATAAAGATTAATATTATTATGTTGATACAACTTAAACAAATTATTTCGACCAAATTAGGTACCATAAAAACGGTTTTTGTGAGTTAATCTTAAAAGAGAGACATATACTGTCGCGGACTGTTTTTTAGATCATTAAAAGAGCTATTATTCTTTAATACATATTTTTTGTGTATCTTGAACCGTTTTCACGGCGCACGCAACGGAAGGCTTCAAAGATGAAATAATTTCTCCCGTTTTTTTACACATTTACCACTATATCTTTAGGAGTAAAGATATATTTGTTCGTAGCGTGATATTATATAGCCTACAGCCTTCCTCGATAACTGGACTATCCAACACAAAAAGAATTATTCAAATCGAACCAGTAGTTTCGGAGATTAGCGCTTTCAAACAAACAAACAAACTCTTCAGCTTTATAATATTAGTATAGATTCTCAGATAAAGTCAGATCAAATCTGTTAATATACATTTCACTATGTAACTTCTATGGTTTCGCTTATGCTGAAACGTTTCCATTCAATAACCTACTTTAATACTATAATGTACGTGGATTAAAATAAGAAACTTGGTGTGACCAAGCAGACCTGGGTACAGCATATTAATATGAAATTGAAGGTCTATATAGACAGTACATACCTAGCTGAAAAATTTAATTTACGAACTACAGTTTCAGTGAAAAAATATCTACTATACGAGTCTAACAGATTTACCTTATATATTCTGGATGGATACCTATTGTATTTGTTTTTTAATCAAAAGTAATCTGTTAATTTTTGAATGGTTGTCGAATAACTTTGCATTAAGTATATTTAATGTCTTTAATCAACTGAATAACTTGTTCAAGCGTGACTAAAAAGGAATTACTTGTTCAAGCCCCATAAATGTAGATACGTAAAGTAACAAAACTTTTTGTGCAATTTATTAGATTATGTACGTATCCCAAGCGTAGAATTGTCGTGTTTAGATACAGAATGAACTGTCCGACGTTATATGAAGTCAAGTTGAAGAAATTGGTACTGTAGGGAACCGGACCACAAGTGAGAACAATACTCCATGTGGGGACGAACCTGTGCTTTGTATAATAAAAGCAGGTTCGCAGTGTGGAGTACTGCCTCGCTCCACTCAGTGCCCCTAATTTTTATAGACTAGTTTAGCCTTATCCTATAAATGTTTCCGGAATTGAAAGTTATTCGCTATGTCAACCCCAAGGATCCCAATACTCTGGTCGATGTTAAGGGGAATGTCCTGGAATGTAAATAGGGTCTTTTTAGTAGTAAATACCTAAACTTAAGTCTTAGGATTGAACTGAATCAGATTCAGCTTGTCCGATTCGGAGACCTGTTCCACTTTCCAGGGAAATATTAATTTCAGAGACAAGACTCCTTCTGTTCTCTTCGACTTGTTATTTTTATTCATTTAGCCCTTGTAGAAACAGTCACTAATACTATGATCTGCATAACACCGTATGTATGCATCAATTATCTTGATTTTAAACAAAAATTAACCTATAATGATGAGGTTGATCATGTTGTAAAAAATAATTATGATACAAGATCTATCGGTGGACGATGTGTCATTTTAATGTGGGTATCATATCGTCCCATTCGCCAGAAAAGTCACATACTTTCAAGACAACCAACATAATTCAAAAGCATTATTGTAATACGCTACAAGCTTATTACATGGCTAAATAAATAAATAAAACTTTACACAACTAGGTAAACATAAATGTTGCCTAATATTTACATTTATAACATAAGCTTTCAGTTTCTATTTTTAACGCTACTTTCTAATATTTTTGTGAACAAGCTAATAACAGTAATTATAAAAATATGTTGAAACATGCGCTTTAATAGTTTAAGGCTAAATAATTATATTTAATTGTTACGTTGTGGCCAATTTATTAATCGATATGTTAATTATAATCACTTTTTAATCTGTTCTCCATAATTAATTTAACTGACAATTTTTCTTCTGGACTCAGATAATTCAAAATGCCTGAGGTCGTGAAGTTATCAAAGCTAAATATATGTCACTCAAAGTGAAAATAAGGAAAAAAGACACTTATCATTAAAATACGAAACCAGAAAAGAAAAACTTTTTATTAATATTTTGAATGAAAAAATACAGAAACTTGCAAATATAAAAACTAAAACTTTTAAGATGTACAAAATACAACAATTTTCCTATAGTTCTTGTGTAGATTAAGATTGCATCTCATTGCAATTAATGAAGTTAATATTAGAAGTGATAATGAGTCGACAGGACCTCGGAAAACATCACCTTTCAACATTTTAGTTTTTATCTAGTAATTTGTCACGAATCAAACGATAAACATAAGAAATCTAATACAGGTTAGATAAATAAAATAATATCATATTTCATAATTTTCCTGTCTTTATTATCTAAGATAATAATGAGGTACCTATCTCTTTATTAAAGATGAATGTGACGTATTTTAAAATGTTTGTATGCTGATTTATTCTAAAACGACTCTTATTGAAAGCGCCTAGAGTCTTATTTTAAATCATTGAATTAAACTTTCGGAAGGTTCTATAGACAAACTATGTATATATATACTGGTCCATAATGAGACAAAAGAATTTCGTAAAATAAGTCAATATCTAAAAGCTTAATCCATATATACGTTTTGATGGTATGGCCAGCTCTACTAATTTGCCTATATAAAGCGTTTTTTAAAATATCAGTAAAAAATAAACTCTGTAACATATCATGTAACTATATATGTTTTAAATATCTAAATTGAAAGATGTGTAACAACTTTTACTTAAATTATCTTTATATCAATTGATTCAAGTGAAAGATATAATAATAAGTAATAATAAAGAAACAGAGATTACTAAGTTCTACGAAGCACTAGACTTTTATCATTTAAGATTTAAGTAATCATGGAAAGCCAAACACAATAATAATCAAACACAACCTATCAAAGAAATACCTATATATTGATTAACTTTAAAACAGCATGTCTTGGCCTTAAATAAAAAACGGATTATTATGAGCTATATATTTTGTAAGTATATTACTTGTAAGTTTTATAATATCGTCATTTTTATTTTACTGTTACAGTACAGATGAAGATGCAAGGCAAGCCATGATGTTAGACGGAGGAAAAATTAAAGAAATCCAAGTGAAGCTTCTTTTGAGCTCTCGGTCGGAGATGCATAAAGTTATAGAAGCGGCTCGACAAAACGTTCCCCTTCTTAATATCACTGCTCCGGCCGCTAGCCCTGCTCCAACTCCAGCTGTCCCTGCACCGTCAGTTATTACACCGTTCTCAGCAGCTCTAGGAACTGGCATATCGACTTTTGGAATACCGGGTATCGGAAACCCGCAAGAGATACCACAACCAGCCGTCATAGAACCACCTGCACCAATTATAAGCCCACCTGCTAAATCTCCTGTTGAAGAAGAAAAAGATGAGGATACGAAGTCCGACAGAAAACGTAGTAAGGAAAAAGACAGACGCCGAACACGTTCACGGTCCAGATCGAGAGATCGAAAGGATAGAAAACGAGATCGAAGAGATAGATCACGATCCAGAGACAGGAGGCGACGGGACAGAAGTCGGAGCAGAGAGAGACGAGATCGGAAACGAGAAAGGAAGGATCGTAGTCGGTCACGAGACAGATCGCCTTCCAGACGATCGCGCGATAAACGTAACGGAGATCGTAAATCACCACAAGGTTCTATAGACAGATCCCAAGAAAATAGTCTTGATAATTCACTATCCAATTCTACACCGCCTTTTGGCACTTTGTTGAACACTAACGGCCCGCAAATGGGTATGATACTCCCAACTCCTGCAATGGCTAATATGCAAGTAGGTGCTCAGGGTGATTTGACACAAAATCGCTTCAATGATCCGTCTCTAGCTGAGGCATTCAATAAATTACAGGAATTAGGTAAAAAACGTAATCCCAATGCATTCCAAGGAGATCAACAGAATGGTAGTAAATTTTCAAGTGGCAGAGGTGGAAGTAGTAGCTCTAGGAATCAATTCCGTCGTGAGGGTCGAACTACGAGATTTGAAGAACAGCAAAGAGACTGCTGCGTGGCTATAAGAAATGCGCCAAACCATACAAGTTATGGTGACGTTCGTCGCTTTTTCCCTTTTATGATCGATAAACGAGGAATAAAAATGATCAATGATAATATGGGTCGGCGAACTGGAAATATATTTGTTAGATTTTGCGACTCACGAGCGAAACAGCTTGCCTTACAACGCAAACCAAATGAATTAAAAGGAGCTCAAGTGATTGTAGAATCCTTGGACGATGATACTTACGACGCTGCTACAGATTCATTCCTTCCTTACCGCGAAGATAATGACGAAGAAGAATCTACATTGCAAGTCTCAGACACAGGAGACGACAATACAACTCAATTCAGTGTTCTCAAACTAATCGATCTCCCTCATTTTGTTCAAGAACAAGACATTATGAAAGCATTTAGCGATTTTTCACTTTTATCCATCCACCTTGTTGACTGCCGCCATAACCGAACTAAAAATGCATATGTTGAGTTTGTTAAACCAGATGATGCCAAAATAGCTTTAGAACGCAAAGATTCTTATGTTTTCGGAAGACGACATCCAGCTATAACTCCACTTACAGATGAAGAGTATAAAAACGATAAAAATGAAAATTCTGATGCGTCTGGAAAATCGCAATCCAATAAAAATTCAATACAAGAACAGGCTGTGCCTCGAGATCCTCGTCAGCGACGGTTATTAGATAATGGGCTGGGAGGGCCACAAATGCATAACGCACAACAGCCTTTCTTTCCTAATACTGCATTTACACAAAATTTTAGGGCACCTTTTCCCAATCCACAATTCGGTGGCTTTGGAGGTATGCAACATAGAGGTATGATGCAGAATTGGGGCAACCGAATGAACTTCCCCAACAAGTCGGATGCTCAATCAAGTTCCCAGGCTATATCTCTCAACATTGATGAAGAATCCCTCGATTGCGTCCTCATGAAAGGTCTTCCTCGCGAAGCTACGGACAGGACTATCGTCAACTTTCTGTCAGACACGGGAGCAGTACCGGCGAGGATCCACCTCATGCTCGACAACAACGGTCTTCCTTCAGGAGATTGCTTTTGCGAGTTTAGAACCCCTCAAGAAGCTAGGCAAGCAAGTGCTAAGCATGGCAGTCTTTTGGACGGTTGCCGCGTTACCGTCGATCTGGTTTTGAGGAGTGTCGTAGAGGAAGCGCTGGAAGGACCCAAGGACACAAATCAGGGAACTCAAGAGGGTCTACTCGGACCGCCGCCACCTTTCGTCAACGTACCTCGTATGCCATTTTTCCCGAATCGCGGACAGTTTCGAGGACGAGGATTCGATAGAGGAGGATTTGACCGCGGCGGATTTATGAATCGTGGCGGGTTTGATCTCCGCGGGCGAGGTATGATGCGCGGTCGCGGTGGCTGGCCAGATCGCGGTCGCGGGTTCGACGCGAGAGGCCGTGGCCGAGGCTTCATGCGCGCGCCTGCACCTAGAGATGACGAGCCAGATCCCGCTCTCGAAGATTTCGGTACGCCGGGTTGCGTGTTGTCTATGGAGAATGTACCTTTCAGAGCCACCATAGACGACATCCTTGCGTTCTTCAGTGACTTTGAGCTGACACAGGACGACGTTATCCGTCGCTACAACGAACGCGGTCAACCCACAGGAGATGCGCGTGTTTCGTTCCGCACTCCATTCGATGCTAAGCGCGCACAGTCGTCTCACAATCTTTCGTCCATCTTTGATCGCCGCATCACGCTCACTCTACTCTAGCCCCTGCCTGCCTCGGACCACTCCTCTGATACAGATGAATCCGAATCAGAATCTGAATCAGAATCGGAGTGTTCGTCCGATGCATATTAAAGTAAAAAACTTGATTTCGATGAAAAGTAAAAACTTGATTTCGATGAAAAGTAAAAACTTGATTTCGATGAAAATAACAATGTTGTTTCAAGTTTGATTTGGTTATAAATGGACATTTCGTGTTACTATAAGGGACCTCTACTAGGGAAAGTAGTCGTTAAGTGTACTATAAGATAAATATAGTGACGATATAATTAGGTTTATTTTAATAAAACAAAGTTTTCATAATTCAAATTGGCCTTTTATTTTCAAATTCAAAATAACCAAAAACTATAATTAACATAGCAGGTTACCTAGGTGAAATTTGCCACCAAGAAATTTTAATATAGATTAAACACTTCTGTAAGCCCCTACCAAACCTTTAAAGTATATTTTCATTTTTTTTAACAATCCATTCGATTACATCGCCGATCTAAAATTATGGAAGCGTGCTAAAAATTTTAAGCAAATTAAAATAGATAACTTACTGAATGTAGTAGTTTTCTGGTAATAATTTCATTAGCAATACCCTATAGACAATACTTAAATCTTTTATTACAAGACGTCGCGTCATAACGTTGTTCTGATCTTCACAATTATTGCTATATTTTACCAACGGTCTGTCTTTGAATTGAAATTTTAAAAAATCTTAAAATTTTGAGTAATGGAATACTATGGAATAATAATATCATTAATATTGGCCTTCGTGATTATTTAAGTTTATTAAACGTACTATATATTATCACAATTATCAGCATAAATATTGCTACATGTGAAATATTCTTGAATAATTACAATTTTCAGTTAACTTATTTATTTAGAAGCCATATATAATTTTATTTTAAAACATATAGCATGTGACAACATTCTACTGTTTACAATTTAAGTGTGATTATATCTATTTACCAATTCCATTATAATTTTTTATTATATTAAATACACCAATACATAAATTCGTAACACGCTTTAATTATTATTAAATATTACAGTTACAAATGCGAATAATAATTCTAAATTATGAGGAAACAAACTCAAATATTTTTATTAACATTTTCAATAAGATTAAGAAGTATTAATATTTTTTAATATATATAAATACATTCTTGAACTTATATATATTAAAACGTAATTTCAATTATTCTCCATACTTAAATGTGATGTTTTAATATTAATTCATTTGGTAGACCACTTTGGACATAAACATAGCACAAAGGTCTTAGAAAAAAAACTAGCTAAAAATCGTTACAGCTACAGTAAACATAAATATAACATTAAAAACAAAGTTTTCCCTAAAATTACTTTATAAATAATAATATAGAAAAAAAAATGTACACGTGGGATGACAGTACAACAGAAATGAGCTTTTTTTTATTTATCTAATGTTTCAAAATATGTGTAATATTTGAACAAAAAAAAATAATTAATTTAAAGAATATCAGAATTTTACATAATAATAGATAAACTTGTTGCAGCGAACAGATACATCGATTGAAATAATTTACCTCATACTAAGTTATAAAATATACAAATTTATTCGAGACTTATACATCTATAGTGTAGTGTAGGCTCAAAATGTATATACCATAAGACGAGTATATGAAAATAGTAGATGCAATTTATATGAGCGGTTATTGTAAATAGTTATCAAACATCTTTACATTATTGTATTGATTCACAGAGATGTTTGGTAGAATATCAATATATTTAATGAACACTTTTTTAGGAAAATTAATAACACATCACAAAATTAACATCCGTTAATTCACTAATCCAAGTATTTCATATATTGCCAAACAGAGGATATATCCTTAATAAAATATTTAATTTCTATAGGATGTACTAGCGCTATTCAGCTGTTTAATGTGTTATATATTTAATATTTCACAACAATTGACAAGCATTTAAGAGAAATATTAAATGACTCTAAATTTACTTCACAACTGAAGCTATGTTAGAGTTTTAGTAAATTATAAAGTTATTGAAATTTTTAATATAGATCACACAAGTGCACTAAGTCTGATTATGTGGTCCCAGAGAAAAATAGACTTAATATACATATATTAATATTATATACAATACTAGTAAATGTCTTATAAAATGTATACTTAGATGTATGAGGAAGCAGAGTTGTTGGAATAAATGTTAGAAATATCGTTATAAAAAAATTGTAATAACAAGTTTTACACTTGCCTATTTATCAAAAAAATAATAATAATAAAAAAATATCAAATTTACTAGAAACACTATAAAATTCTTCCCTCTTTTTAGTATTTAAAACAAAACTTTTGTATTATTTCAAGTAACGTTGACAGTTTTGTAAGTGAATGGGTTGATTTTAGTTTCATATTTCTATTGTTACTTGACACATGTATTTTTGCTTAAGCAAATCAAGGTACCTATATTATTTTGATAGTGTATATAATCTACACACAGAATGACCGATAAACTATATATGCAGCTATATATAGTATATATTATAATACATAATATCTTTTAAATACTTTTAATAAGAATACATTTCATATTACAATAATCTCTGTACCTTTTAAATTTTAATAATGGTACCTTCTACATACAACATAATTTTAAATAGTCATTAATCCAGCAAAGTTGGCTATAAATACATGTACATGAACTATATCTAATCAATCCAAGTCAAAATGCTCATAAGTCTTCTTCTTCTGCATTTTTCTTATAATGGATTTATGTATGCCTGAAACAGAATTTTGTTATCGTAAGCAAAATTTACTTTAATTAAAATTGTATGAATGGAATATAATTTATGTTTTATATTATAAAAAAATTGTGTGAAAACTTTACAAATAGATTAATCATAATGATTAGGATACATTAGTGAGTGATATGTTAAATAAATTTACTTCTTTTATATTTCTTAGTATTTATGTATGTGAAAATTTATTTAAATACATATGTATAACGGAATTACTTTTTATTGTTGGCTCGTGTGGGTGAGCTGTGGTTTGAATGGTTGGGGCTCTCACTCAGTTCTGAGCTGGAACTACGAATGTCTCCTTCCATCTGGAAAAAGTAATCAAATAGAATCTTCGTAAAAACCACATTTATATCATCATAGTAGTAAAATTTGTATATTTTTCTATGAATGTAATTTATATATTTTAACTATTATAACAATATCATAGTAATATGAATGAGAATACTTACTGAAAGGTAAATTAATTAATATAATATTTTATTAACAATTTCGCATACCTGACCAGCCTTAATAGTAATATAAGCTATCTGTAGTATCAGACAAGTCCACACAATATGCAGTATCAGTAGCAAACATAGTAGAGAGTTAAATATGTAGTAGGCCGGGAACATTGGTAGCAGCATGGGGGCGCGGATTGATGTACTGGAAATAAGCATAATTTCTTTTTATATTGACTACCTTTATTGCTTTGGTACCAACATCTAGTACCTAAAAAATTATATGCATAGTAATTCAGGAAACTAAGCCTTGTTATGGCAGTCATGTGTTTAATAATAGTTTAATTATTTACTTTCCTTATGACGCATTTAAACCCATATTTCTATTTTATAATTTACCATATCTATATTTTATAAAAATTTGTAATGTTTCAAATCCTTAACTTGATAGAAAGACAAGAATACATAAACTTGATCTCTAAAAAGGAATTCATACAATAAAGTATTCATTATTGACCTTTCTTAACCCTATGTTACTCACCTCCAAATGATATAGAATGGGAAAATTCCAACTCGGGTACTAATCCATGTAACAATGAGTCCTAGGAACAGGCTATCACACAGCTTTTGGTATCCTGCATACTTTGCTGCTTTCACCGCCTAAAATCATTATACTATTTATCTATCTAAATCACACTTATAAAGCAGAATTCTTATATTAACAAAATGTTATAGTCTATTCAGCAATATTTCAAAACATGTTATTAACATTATGAAGACATCAGAAACAGGTAGAACATTACAAATTGAAGACACTTTGTTACAGTACTTTTATAGCAATCAACTTATTGGTAATCCATACCTCAACAAATATATCAGCACAATCATGCAGCAGCAGCACCAGTGTACCAATCCGATGAAGGTTACACACCCAGCTGAAAGACAGCAGCAAGATGGTGGCGATGTGGTGAACGAACATCTGCCAGAAGTCTTTACGACGAACATCCCAGAACTGAGATATGGTGAGGGACCAGTAGAAGGCTGCCGATATCATGTAGTACCACCAAATATCCGGAGTGAGGCCCTGAAATATGATATATCATTAGTTGTACTTATATGACAATATCATAACAAATTTGAGTAGGATTTGTGATTTTACAAGTTGCTAAGTATGAAGGCTATAATAAAGATTGTGTTTGTAGAAATATATGTATCATTGATATCATTGTCTCTATCAGTCAATCAGTCATGAGAATATTTGGAAACAGTTTCCATATAAGAATTGATGGAATTCTCACCTGATGGGGATAGCCCAGATAGCATTGATCTATATCCCAAAGCCAGTCCTTGTCCCACAGTACGATGAGACCAAAAATAAAGTTACAGATATAGAAGGTGCACTTCCACATGTTCTCGCAGAATTTAACCAGGGTCGAGGGTTTGTCCTGGCACTTGCGCTTCCGTAGCCACCTTTCCACTTGGCGCTCCGACATATCCAACTGTTTCGCGAGACTGCATATTTGCTGGAAATAAAAAGATTCTGTTGATTTAAATCAAATGAATTTTTATTAATTTATATTTATGAATTATTTTCATTGTGGTTTAGGGTGAGGAGAGTTAAGATATTTTAAACTTTTTAGTTTATAAATGATTTAAAATATATAAATTCATTATGTTTAATCAATATTAACACTGTTAGGTTCAAAGCCTTATATCGCAAAATGTGACTTTTAAACTCAGATAAAAAGTACTTGAATCGCATGAATAAAATTATTATTTCGTGTACATTGAAAAATGTTTCCTTGGAGATTTATCAAATTTATGAGTTGAGATAAGCGAAACACAATAAAGTGTACTGCATTTTTTAACAATTGAATAAAACTATGCTATCAAAACGAAGGTTTCATTAATTCTTTTTCCTCATATAAAAACACTATAAATGTGTTGAACCTACATGATGATGAATATATTTTCAATATACGTCCTTTTATTTTTTGTAACTACTTTCAAATACTAATGTACTGGTTTTGTTGAATTTACCTGACAAATACTTATATGCAAGACATTGAAATGTTTAAAAAAAGTATGTAAATCAATTTAATTTAGGCAAAATTAAGGAGTAAGGTACTGGTAAATTTAACAGGTCAACATATTGGTACTATCGTATCCTGAATAAAAATAAATTATGCAACATATATATTATGTAATTAAATTAATTTCCCTATAAAAAGTATTATATTTCCCTAGTATTTTATTGCTATAGATATATTAAATCACACTTTGTCATTAAAGATTCGATTAATGAATGCTTATATGTCATTAGACTTTCAGCCTTAAAAGGAATTATATCAAAATATAAACTCTGCTTCTTATGTAATCAAATTGATAAAAGAAACATATAAAAATCGTTAAATTAGTATGTTTTGTATTGCACATCGAGATATTCAGGAAATGATATGCACTTTTTTTTAAATATTTTTGCCTTTTCATCCCATCCAAAACCATGTGGCCATGAATCAAACAATGAACGTGAATTTCAGTGTACGACACTCTGATGCACGAAGTGTGTACTACATTACTGCGGTTTCATGAAAAAAAAATATTTTGTCGTTAATATTCTATAGCGGTCATTTAACTTTCGCTGTCTGTGTCGTAAAACTTCGCGAAAGACTGAACATAGTTTTTGCGCATCGTGTTTTGAACCCGCGGCCTTCTGTTGTACAATCTAATATCACGCTTGGCTGGGATGACCCTGGCCCCGTTACCGAACGTAATGAGAGGAAGCCGTGTTTAGAGACAATAAAATATACAAAAATAGCATTCTTAAAGTGAACGCTATTTCAAGATATAGAAATGATTACGCGTCCGTCAGATAAAAATATAATCGTACACCCATTACAAATGTAGTGTTAGTTTGGAATGATGTATAGATTTTTCTACTATTCACCCAGAAACTATTTTAATATATTTTTGGAACAGAGGGAATAATATTTATATTAATATATTTCAGATCTACATTTGTCTAACATCGCAGCTTCATGAGTTATATTAAAAAATATTTTCTTAGATTTGTCTGTTCAAAACACTGAAACTAATTTGAAACTTTGTTTATTGACATTTTAACAAAGAAATGGGTCATTGGACATAGGCCGAGAATATGTTCAAGAAATTTTAAATATAAAAAGATTTAACATTATTTTTCTCTTTTGTTTAGAATTTGTTTATTTAAAACAGGTTGGTACGATTTAGAAAAAGATAAAAGTCTCCTATTTAAAATAAAAAGATAAAATATGAAGCACTTTTCTTCTTCTTAAAAACGACATTTTCTTAAACAACTTATTTTGCGATGAAAATGTTTTTTTTTAATTCCGTACAATATTAATTTAAACAACTCCGAATATAAATATGTATCTGTATTTTTTTAATAATTATATATATAAATACAAAAAGTAATTTGTAATATATACAACAATATGTATCACGAGATCTGTCTTCAGATTGTATTCCGCCACTTTCACATACTGTATTGAAACATTCGTCATGAAAGACAGATCTGTACAGAAATGTTAATTGTGAAAGTTTGTATAACTGTGCTCCGAAATCCATATACTTAAAGGCTAGTTCGCTTTCATAGTTTTTATAACTGAAATATTTTGTACATCTCGAATACTATGACAGAAATAATTAAAGACAAATTATTACATAATATTTTGTTTACTAAGTTTATTGTATGATAAACTCAACAAAATTGATATGTTACACATCTGGCATAATAAAAAATAAAGTAAAATCACACCTGGCATAATAATATATTTATCTGTTATAAACACGGAGTTTAATAACAACATATAAATTATAATGATAATTTAAAATAACTAAAGTATTTTCTAATACCCACTCGAATAAAGCGTATTTAGATATGATTTATAATTTCCTGTAATTAGATTAAAAAAATTATTGGAATTTATAAGCCTTATTTTCTAATTTTAACAATACAGAAATTGACATATGCTATTAATAATAATTAATTAATATTTTTTATTGAGGGCCTTAAATTACGAAATTGCTTATTAATGCTATACTAATAGAAAGACGGGAAAAAATATATTTAGATTATTTTTAAATTACGGTAATTAAATTTATTATTATATTTGAATCTAAAATTTCCTTTAACATATGGAAAAAATATTTTAATGCACAGTATTAAAACGTTTCAGTTCAGTATAATATAAAAATATATAAGTAAGACACAAATTTGTCTTAATTAAGAAATATATTTAAACTAGTTAGATATAAAAATGTATCCTTAATAAATTCTTTTGTGTTCGTAATATAAAATATTAATCATGAAATTTGAGCAAACGTACATCAAATAGGTACATGTACTTCTGGGGTTATGTTAGTCAAATCGTAGTGAGAAATTAACAAAATTAAATTCCATAGCATCAAACACTTCGCTATTATTAGCCTACTATTCATATAACATTTGTTTTAAATAAATTTAGAGCAACTAGACTCATTATTATTTAAAACATCGGGTTTTATCAGTGCCTAAGTCGAGCTGCCTTAACATTTCTAAGGTTACAATATCAAAAATAAAACTGTCTCAAGTAGAAATTACTCATCATTCAACACAATCAAACGCTCTTCCGATTACGACTGTATCAAGTGTCTTACGCAGACAGATAGCTCTTTTAAAAAATGATCAAGCCACGTTTACTATATTTATTGTTTTTCAAATGACAGTAAAATATTTAAATGTCAATAAATTCTTAGGACGTTCTTTAAATATTATGAAATATTTTTATTTATTTCTTATCGTCATATAAACCTTACTTCGTTTTAACTGTCATCTTGACAATAATTACATATAGTGTTAGCGATTTTTTTAGGTAAAGAAATTCGTCTTTCAACAGACCATAAAATACCTATTTATATTTTTTCTCATACCTTTAAAACTCGTATAGTGGCTAGAAATAGAAACTAATTATAATAAACGATATTAAATCTAGATTTTACAATAAGATATCGTTATATCTTATATCATAATTTAATAGTGAATTAAATTATAAAGAAAAAATATTCACATTAAATTATAAAAGCTCAGATGATATAATATTTTTTTTAATCAGTGACAAACAACATTAATTATTCTTATACTCTGTTTGCTTATTTATACCACAGCTAGTAACAAAACGTTGAATATCTATAGAACTTTAAATCAATAAAAAATGGAGTAGATTATTTAATATTTTGTATGCAAAAATTACTTCGAATTATTATTATTAAATAATCAGATATTTATAGTCTCTCAGACCCCTTCTTATTGGCGAGTGTTAACAACTGCCCTCACTTCCGCTGAAGCAGTAAATCGTCGGGATTCGTTATAAAGCAATTGTCTATACCCATTATTTAAAAAAAGTATTGTGATATAAATAAATAAAAGTAAATTAAATCGTTTGTTTGCCCTTAAAAACTCTAAGTAACAAATCGATCCAGGTTAATATACTTTGGTAATGACCTTTATGTTGACCCGAGATATTAAATGACTTTGTTCGACGCCTTACATTATCGCGGTCTATAATATATTGTTTACATAAATAGAAAATTGTTTATGGTCTGGCCGACGGATACACAATAAAAAAAAGAACAAAACCATAGACAATTTATGCGTATTTCTTACATATTAATTAGACATTATAATATGAAACACATTTCCATTGAATTGATTCATTCTTTTTTACATAAACATGATTGTAAGGCATGAGACAAGTTGATGTGTATTATCAATATGAAATTGCGATACAAAAAAACTCAAACGGAGTAAAAAATATTATAATGATATTATTATTATCTGATATTTCTAAACAAAATAACTTGAACTATTTAATAACTTCAAGTAAAAATATTATTTCTTTAAACGCTTTCCAACATCTGGATATAATTCCAACTTGACATTGTGACTTTGACTTGTAATAAAATGTTTACCATCCTTACATTGTAGTAGTTTATATTTATCAATAGCGTTCTGCTCAGGTTATCAGAGAAAAATACTCGATTAGAAATTATCATACAATATTGACAGTTTAAATCCCAATTTGAAACTTGTCATGGCTTTCATACGTTTATAAATTCGAATGAATTAATTTTAGGTATATATGTTCTGACTAAAAGGATGAATTATCACATCTATATTCTATTAACTGTTATAAGAAAACAAAAATAAAGATACCTAGTAATTATTTTAAACCGTATCTGTTAAATTCAAAAGTAATTCGACTAGCATTCTTTTTAATTTTGAATGAAATTTAACCGTTAAAATGACACATGTCACGTGACGTTAATTTTAATAGACGCTAACTGTCGGGAACAGAAACGCTAGCTGTCGGGAACCAAAAACGGAGGAAATGAGTCATGACAACGCGCGGTATTCGCAGCAATGGGCAATGGCGGTTAAGCCAGACCTAAACATCCTGCATTTCATTATATTTCGCACAAAACCCTTCATTTACACTGATAAACAATATTAATATTAAAAAACATTAAATTCTAGAATCCAGAACACGTCTAGATTATTAATTGTTTTATTCAATAGCATAGTATGATATGTAATCGCAAACCACGCGCCATTTTTTTCTAATAATCGATGGCATTGTTCAGCCATTTTGTTTAAAACATTCTTGAGATATATTTATAAACTTTCCTTATGTTACATTAATCTCTGTCTATTATAAAACAGTATGGAAACGTTATAATAAATTACATAACGCAATATTAAAATTAAATTTAGAGGATAAGATAACAAATGAAAATAATAATGTGATGTAATAATAATATTATTACTTAAGAAACTGCTCGAAAACAGAGGATGTACAATTATTATGACTATCATAAAGAAGAGAACATTTTTTAAATTAAATTATAACTAATATATCGATAGCAGTTATTTATATAAAGCAATTTACACAGGATAATCTTATATTTCCATATTATAGTTCAATCATTTTAAATAGTTTCAGTGAAGAAACAAGTAAAGTGATGGTATAGTATATAGCTTACCTGTTTGGTCCTCGGAGAAGTTTTATATGCAACTTCAAGCTTTGGGTTGGATGGTGGTTTTCTAGGCTTGACATCTTTAATGCCGAGGTATCGTCCAAAAGGTGCAAATACAAATCTACAAATGAAGCAGAGACATAATAAATGATATTGTGTATTATTACATTATATTTACTATAATAACACAACAGTTTGTTTTGGTATTAAGGAATTAATTGTTCTAAACATAAATTTTATCACCGCAACATATCACATGAAATCTATTGTTATACAAAATAACTAGACATTTTAACATTTAACTCATAGAACAAACATATACTACTTTTTAACTGGATATATTTTTGAAAAGTTTTACCATATTCATTGATAATAATGACCAAACTGGTATGTTTTTAAAAAGCCATTAAAGTGGTATTTTATTTCTATGAATAACATACAATGTGAAGGTCACATCAAAACAGGTTGACTTAGAATAAGGAAGTAAGATATTTTCAATTATAATATCGACTTGACAAAACAAATGATGAATTTATATTAGAGTTTCTTTCTTTAAAACTGATAGTATATGAAATGACGAGCTATAGACGAACTGGTTATGATATAGGAGCAAATGTATCGAGCGAAATTACTTGTTCGACTAAAGAAAATATTATAGAAAAGAAATCATAATTAAGATTGTATGAAATAGAAAATCTCTTGACAACAATAAAATTATATGAGTATGGATTTAAAATTTATGTATGTTGTATAATAATAAATTTCGTAGGTCAAATCTATGAAGCTATGATAAAAATGTAAATTTTTTTATATGATGATAAAATAGTCAAAGAAAAGCAGTCACATTAATATTAGAATTATAACTTATTATTATATTTTTAATTACTTGTAAAGTCAGTACTGGTTATAATGAAATAATTTGATATTAAACTAGTAATTGTAAATTATAACAAGTAACTAATATACTCATACCGTCAAACAACTCTCATTGAATAATCAATTGAATGCTGAATGTTGAACATCGAGTATATTTATAAATCTAATAATAATGATGTCCAGCGAAGTATTGATTTTCCTTTTGCTGTGATAACCTATTAAATATTCCATGAGACTACAAAATTCATGTCAGTCGATATTGTCTCTACCATTACAAATTAAAGATATTTCATAGATATACAACACTCAAGGTAACTATTTATTACTTGGTTATTTTAATGTATTTTATGTTTATAACTTGTGTCTTTACGACATTTCATTCCATAGAATCCATAAAGACTTGTAATGTTTAAATGTTGATATGTAGTTTTTATCCTGTGTTACTTAAATACTGTAAAAATATATTTATTTTCATTTGAGACTTCTATTATGAAATTTACAATATTTGTAAATCATGTCACAAGAAATACATATTTTTCTTTCTAACAACTTGTAGGGAATTATTGTAATTTTATTATACGTCCAAAATGAAAATAAAGCTAAAAAATATAAAATAACGAGATAAAAATAATGGAACCAACGACCGCGAGTATAGAACATGAATATTTCATGTTCTTAATATTATAAAAAAATATTATACTAAGTAAATTAATGAACGCAATTAGATTTCAGCTTGAAACAAGATAGATAGATGATTTTAGTAGGTTCATACGTGTGGAAAAATCAAATTACGAATTATATGACTCAAGTTACCGTTTACCGCCCCAAAAATAATGTTAGAGCGTACATGTAATATTATTTGTTGCACTTACCTTTCTAATATATAGCGAAGAGTTATGAAGACCAGTGCTAACGGTATCGGAAAAAAGACATGCCTGTGGTCCGTATAAATTACTGCCTTATCTGGTCCGGGCGCCAGATCAGCCCATGTTGTATTAGGCGGCAACCAGATATCCTCATTCCAAAACGCATTCAACAAAGGCAGCAACATTGCTAAATTTCTTTTTAGCAACCCGAGAGCACTATCCTAATATAAATACTAGAATTTAACAATAAACTTAATTTAAATCCATCGACTAAACCTTACTACTAATTTGATTTAATGACGGATAGAGGCGGATAGCGGAGTGAGGGCAGCATGTGCCACTTCTGTCACAGATAACACAATAATGTAGCCATCATACAAATTTATTTTTGAAAATGTTTATTATTACTTTAAGACAAAAAATATTATTATATATGCAATACTTAATACATAAAATATCAATAAATGGATTTTAAGATTTTTTTATTAAAATTTAAGGTTTAAATAAAACTCATCGACATTTTTTATAATACTCTTTGTATTACCATTTACCGTTTTGATCGCATACAAAAGATACATATTTTTGTGCATAACAAAGCTCACTCACACATTCTCGCTGCCTACTTTACATATAAAAAAACTCTGGAAATTGGAAATAAACAATAACATGATAACATTTACACATTCAACGGGGGTTTCAAAAACGACTTTTGCCTATCAAATTTAGAATGATAAAATGACAACATGTCTAAAGTTGTTTCGATAATAATTTCGCTAAATTATTTTTTATAAACGAGCAAAATATTAATTACAATTTATTAAACATTTTAAAAAGGCATAACAAACTTTCAGGCACATGTTCTAAGGAATAAAAAAAGATATAATACTATGTACAAATGTGAAACAACACTAAAATATCGTATAATATGTAACAGTGTGTACTTTCGTTACTTGACTTTATGCTCAATTAAGTGTATATCTAATTCTAATGTTGTTTTAATATTGACGTTGTAAAAAAAGCTTTGTAAATTTAAGGCCTCCGTGTCGTCAATGAGCCTACAGACTAGGTTCGACGTTATCTAATCTCGATCACCGGACACAGAAAGGCACGATTGTATCGGTAATTACCGATTTTAGTACATATCGTTATTTTTCTATATATTTCACATACATGAACAATAATTATGTAACATTGATGATATTTAAAAATTGTATATGTATAACATATTAAGAACTAAGTAACATCGTTGTTATTCAAATTGAGGCAAATGGTAACATCTTCAGCAATGTCTTAATAGTATATACAAAAGTGTTTGTTCGCTTACGTAAAAATACAGAAATAATATAAACCAAATCTCTTCAAACTTAAATATTAATCTAATTATATAAAAATAATTATTTTATTTTAATATGTGAAAAAAAAAATTATATAAAATTACAAATGTTGAACATTACACAACCATAACGGGAAGTATTGTTTTAAAATCTAAAAAAAAACAACATAAAAACTTCTTAGCCTGTCTACAGGAATACTTATTTATAAATTTGTTTTAACTAGAAAAGCGTCTTTGGGTGTTCAGTTGCATTAAACCTACGATGTGCATTACTATAAATGATATGGACATTTTTTTAACCGCACCAAAAATTTTACGGAGCTATATTATAATAAAAATGATAGCCCTCTCTTATGTACCACAAATGAGGTAATTATTCTAAGTTACACCAAAACAAAACCACCGCCTTAATGTTGCTAGTGTTAATATTTGTTTTAGTAGTAAGCTAATTAATACATAAAGGTATTAACTAGATACATTTTATATTATGACACGTCAAGATAGATCCAAATGCTATTTGTCTCCATTTTTTTAAATGGAATCAACAAGAATTGTTATTTTCTAATTTAAAGTATAAAAATTTAATTCTTTAACAATTTTATGAATAAATAAATGCAATACAGCAAAGGAACATCAAATTTATAATGAACCATGAAATAAATATTTTTTGGTATAATTGCTTCATAATGTGTTTTAAACTTTGACTAAATTAGTTAAGTATATATGAAAAAGATATGGCCGCTTGATAAAGCTTAAGTAATTTGAGCGTTGAATTGAAGGTTAATCGTTAATAAAGCATAAGTACAGTTAGTATTACATACTTAGATAAAATTGGCTATTTTATGATAAAAAAGATCCTTAATACGAAATTATAATTTTTAAAGTCGCAGACAATGTTTTAGGTGAATACTTCAAATTGTTTGGGTATCGTTTTTCATATATATTGCAAATGCGACTATAAATGAACGTACAAAAATTTTTATATAAAATATTAATTAAGCAAAGTATGCCATGGTATCAAAAAATAGTTTCTTAATTTTAATGATCATCCAAATTAATAATTTAACTAGTACTTGGTGTTCGCTCCTTATGTAAATGAAAAAAAATTTAGATATATCTGCTTTGATAAATTTAAATATTTCAAATTAGTTACTATTGGTCTTTTAGTATTAAAATTTTGCTATAACAATAATTATTTACAGTTTTTGATATGAATTTCAGCCAATAGCAAAATAATATTCAAGATATATTCCACTGCCATTATATAGTTGGGACCACGTTTTTTTTGTTTGTCAGTAACGCTTGATATATTGTATCTTAGGAACGCTGACCTCTATGTGTCTCTGAAATTAGAAGTGAAACTGTATTCAAATTTTGCTAATTACAACATACAAAGTACATTTTGAATTATTCTTTATAGGCAAATAGCTTTTTTATTAAGAAAAAATATCTGGTTAAAGTAAGACATTAAATTATTAGAATGTGAAGTCAGTAATGACGTGCATTAAATATTTTTACTTACTTTTTGCTGTTCCTATTCGGCGTACTGTGGTTTGACTGGTGTGAACTGTCACTGAATTCTGAACTAGAACTCCTTATGTCACCTTCCATCTGGAAATAAATTGAACATTTTAATATATTCATTATTATTATTGCATCTTTTCACATTGTTTACAATCCCATTTTCCAAGGCTCTAGTCATTAATATGTATCATATAATATTCTATGTAGCCTTTAATATCTAGAGAAGTTACATTTAAATCCATTCAGCTACTAAAAATGTTCAGAATACTATTTAATATTGTAAGCATTAGTGGTCTAAATTAAGTTTCTTGGATCAAAAAAGAAATCTTTCGCATATAATTTTATGAGGAATATTTTTAAATTAATAATTTAGGGGGCTACTGGCTTATTTATTATCACCAATAAATAGATATCTTTACTTTAAATCATGAACAAAAAAAGATGAAAGTAACAAATTGGATTGGACCTGGTATATAACCATGCATCCAAAAGATTCTCTAGGTAATATGAAATTAAAAAAATGTATACTAAGAAAATTAAAAACCTTTTACTGAAAACAGTTATCACATTCCAAAATATAACAATTTTATTTTACCTGGAGTTACTTATAAATTTTTGTTCTTATCAATATTTTCATCATTAAAAAATGTAAAAGAAAATGATACAGTATATATGAACAGTATTCTGACCACAAACTTTGTTGCCAACTTAACATATGGGTAACATTTTGAAACCAAACACTAGTAAGGTAGATTTTTAAACTATTACTGTAGTAGTATTTAAAGTAGTAATGTTTCCATAACTTAAATATTTATATACAAACCTTCCCAGCATTGATAGCTTTATAGGCGACTTGTAATATGAGCCACGTCCAGACCATATGTAAAGCCAGTAGGAGGCACAGTAATGAGTTGAAGATGTAGTAGGCAGCGAACATTGGTAGCAACATGGGGGCACGAATCGATGTACTGCAAAATAAGACTGAACTGCAGGTAGTGGTCCAACCAAACAAGATTTTTTTTGTAAATAGAGACTGGTAATGATTGTCTTGTGATAGTTTTATTACTATCTGCTATTTTTCACTTATTATAAAATCGAAGATATAAAAGGTATATGTATATAGAGAAAATAGTTAATGTTTACGCTTTTATCAGCTTCATTTATGATTCTAAAATATGAACGATTCTTCTAATATAAATATGAGAAATAAACAATCGCGGTTTTTCATGCATTTGTATGTATTTTGAATACGCTAATTAAGATTTTACAATGAAAACTATTGACATTAATTTGATTGTATCACTTCTTGTAAATAATGTTTAAACTAAGCCTATTCCAAAATTTATATTATTGCGTATTCTACAAGAGATAAAACATCTTAGCACCCAATGTGATGTGATATTGATAATGTGAGTTCTGGACACACCTTATAAAATTAAACGTATTACGTAAGTGAGAGATTTTTTCTCATAATTTCCCCTTGTAGGCATCAAAAATGAAAATACGAATTTTTATAACTTAAGTATGTAATACTAATTTTCATTGCGTCTAAACGTTGACTCAAAGATTAAGCAAAAAGCATCTGTGAAGTCTTATATTATTGGGTAGTACGAAAAAGTTAAATTATTCAATTAATATTAATATTAATTGTCAGAAATACCTATGTGGTTTTTCTAAATTTCAACGGTGACTTTGATAACTGACAAACCCCAATATTAACTATTGGAGAGTCAACTTAAGAATGTCAAATATCACTTGTATATAAATTTCTAATGGTCCATTTTGAATGCAAAACTGTAAAAATATATGACATTTATAGCATCCATTAAAAAATATTATTAAATTATTAATTTAATGTTTATTATCATTCGATTACGGACTTATTAAGTCATGGTCTCAAAAAGCCACTTTGTTTTACAAAACCCAAGTGTGGGTTAAAAATTTTATGGGAGAACAATAGTGTATAAGGTGGGAAGTATGTTCTTTTGACCAGTAAAAATTCCAATACTTTACAGTCAGATCAATGAATAATCACAGAGGTACAATTTAATAAGCAAGTTAATTAAATTAAAATAAGAATATGTTCAGCTTCAGTCATTAAGTTACGTAAAAAACAAGGAAACCTCATGTTATTTTGAAAGAGATGTTCTCAGAGATGCAGGTAGACAGGGATTCTGTCAAAATTATTGGCGACTGGAAGAGCACATCCATTTCTCTCAAAAAACATAAACAAACAGAAAACACTCATTTCGAGTGTTACAAGTTTAGAGAAGGAAGGTGCTAACTAAAACGATCAGTTAGGATAATTTTGAGCATCATAATAAAGACGTGATTACAAAAACGCCATAACGGAAGCGGAGTAGACTTTATTATTGGCTTTCTAAAGTGAAAAAGGATAAATTTTAAAAGCAAATTATGTTTTTAAATTACTCTTGAATACATAACTAGCCTCACAATAGCATAAAGTAGATACAGCTTCGAGAAAAATTCAGAAATTTATTTCTCGGTTAGAGAATTAGGACCACTGATTTTTGCAGTGTTAAGAATCAATTAATTATATCTAAAATTAATGATTCTAACAAACATTTGGCACTGAAAGAAGAACACCCGAGAAGGGAAAATTTATCCTTATTTCTCATTTTCTAACCTACATGTTATGAATTCTTCTGCCAGTTTAAAAAATGTTGAGGGAGTAACCCAAAAAATATCCACAAAGAAAAGGACAGCTATTCGATGGGGTATGTGCCAGTGTAATAAGTAAATTTGATACCCGGTGATTGTTTCAAAATGATTGTCTTTTCACAAGGTTTTATTGTTTGTATTTGTATATAATTTCGACCAGTTATAACGGATTTTTTTTAACAACTTCTTTGTGTTGTTTACCTATTTTGGTTCAAACGTTTTTAAAAGTGTGATAAGGTACAACATGTTATTCATAACCAGTTGTTTATTTACCTCCATATGATATAGAAAGGATATATTCCTAATCTGGTCATAATCCACAGCGCTGTAAACACGGTGAATATCGCGTCACATAGCTTCTGATAGTTAGCGTATTTCGCCGCCTTAGCAGCCTGAGGAATAAACATAATAAATTATAAATTAGATGAAACAAAATAGTATGTATATATGTTAGTTCGTGAATTATCATCCCTCATATACAAACAATAATTTTCAGTAGGTTTATAGAAATTCATGCTTGACTAAAATAATATAATATTCATCCAATCTCCATTTCAATATTGTAACACTCCAATGAAATTCCATATATATTACTACTAATTACTTCCATTCTCAAGTTATTAATATTATTAAACATCTATCTGCTGATATCAAACTAAGCTTATATTAACAATCACCCAAGTTAGATCTTTGTTAATTAATATAAGATATTGAGTAAAATATTTACCTTTTTACTCACCTCTAAGAATATATCAGCACAATCATGCAGCAGCAGCACCAGTGTACCAATCCGATGAAGGTTACACACCCAGCTGAAAGACAGCAGCAAGATGGTAGCGATGTGGTGAACGAACATCTGCCAGAAGTCTTTACGACGAACATCCCAGAACTGAGATATGGTGAGGGACCAGTAGAAGGCTGCCGATATCATGTAGTACCACCAAATATCCGGAGTGAGGCCCTGGAATATGATAAAGTATTTTGATTATTTTAATCATTAACAAAATTAAGTCTATTATCAATAAAAAACCTATGTACATACTATAAAAAGACTCTTATCTGGAAATAAATTAGATAAAACATCAGCTCACCTGATGAGGATAACCAATGTAACACTGATCGATGTCCCACAGCCATTCCTTGTCCCATAGAATGAATATTCCGTATGAAAAATTGTACAAATAAAACGTGCACCGCCACATGTTCTCGCAGAACTTCACAAGGGTAGATGGCTTATCCTGGCTCCTCCTCAACCTCCACCATCTCTCCACCTGCCTCTCTGACATGTCCAACTGCTTCGCTAGAGCACATATCTGAAATAACAGCATCTTTTCTCTATAATCGGAAATCTGTTTTAAAGTTATATAACATATTAAAGGGTGCATGCAGAATGTAATATACAAATGGTAAATATTTAGCCGAAAGCGCTGTCTTTGTTAAGTGCGAAAGTCAATTATTTTCTGTTCTAAGCTGTGGAGCTTTTCATATTTACAAGAGTAAATGATGCAAAAGCTTCGCCAAGTTATTACTAAATAATTAGAAAAATACAATCTAATGATATTTGAAGACTTTCGCAAGTATTTATTTAAATGAAAAAATATATATATTTCTTATTACTATGCGTATTTTATTATTTTAAAAACAAAACACTTCTGACTCTTCGGTTACTTTGCAACAACTATATTTTATTCAACAAAAATTTAGCTCTTGAATAAAAAATTTAAAATGAATGCAATTTTTTTCGTATATAAGCTATATGGAATAAAAAAAATATACGTATAATTTAATTTTAGGAAATATTAACAACAGTTATAGTTTCAATCCTTTAAAATCATTTGTATTAAAGCTCTAACGAGTTTTTAATTATTAGTCGTAAAGGTACAGAAAATTCTTCAATACATTAATTCATAATGAAATCCTAATATTGATTTAAAAACTTTTGTCATTTAATGTTTTACGTTCTACTAATATTACATGAACATGTAAAAAAAACATCCATTAATGTATTAAATATACCAGAATTGAAATGGGTCGGAAAATTAGAAGCATTTCGTTTGATTTAATCGTTACATTCGATATCAGCTATTTCTGTCATATATTTCATACACTTAACGATTTATTAGATTTAATCTTGTGTTATAATAACCAAAACTATAGAATAGGTTCATATAATAGCTTCAATTTAATATCAAAACCAGCCAACAACAATAGACAGGCCTGAAGCTCTATAAAAATAATTAGAACGCTGTGCCAGTTTACCAGTAATACTATTTCTTTGACTATTTGATTGATGTTAATTTTCATATAGCGTTTATAAGTTAGCTATTGTAATTTGTATGCCCAAAATTAAGGTCATTTACCTTCAAAGAGCATTACATTTTAGTTATAGCGAATTTTAAATCTAATACAATTGTAGTAGTTTTGGTAATCAATACATTTATATGACTAACTGAAAATTAATTTCCTTACTATTATCGTCTATACTTCAGTTTATAGATCTGATATTGATAAACCTAGATATATCATCGTTTCCTTATTCCATCGTTACATTTATTTTTAATGACTAATACAATTACAAACAGTAGGTATAGATAATTTTTAATCTATTCTTAGTGTTCCTGACTTGTCATTTATTATTCTTCAAACACGCTACTAGCTACGTAGGTTGATGAATTAAATACTAGCAACTGTCTGTATTTAGTTAACTATGAAAATTTGTAGTGTAACCCAAATGCTTTAGCCCTTTGAAAACTAGCAGGAACAAAGAAACGGTCAATCGGACGAACAAGGCAAATTAATTGATATACTAAACAGTGTTATTAATTTTTGAAACCAATTGAAATCCCTGCAGATGAAATGACGGATTAAATTTATTTTCAAATAAATTTGAAACATGTTATTGTTACTTATTATGTCATGCGATCCGTGATTATCATTAGGCGGTCAACACGTTTCTACGGTTTTGGAAATTGGTGCTTTCATATTTATTGTCAGTAAGATAGATAATATAGGTTGTACTCCATCCTTCGAAGGAATAGTATATCGTTTTAATTGGCCTGCCCTCGTCTACGATTTAAAAAAAACCTTTTGCCAAAGTTAGACGCAAGCGTCACAAAGATGTTGAAGTCGTGGCTCGGGCTCGCGCTAACGACTGATTCATTAGCTATTTAGGGATCACAATAATTTTGGTATGAATCTGAACAGGCCATCGGAGCTCTGTAGACAGCTAAGAGTTTCAAGAGACAATTCCAGGAGGAGGACAAGGAAAATCCCATGACGACGTCGTTACATCACTCCCAAAAGACAAAGATGTCCTAAAGCTAAAACAAGACAATTCAATAGACAGTTTATATTAGGAGCACAAAGTAACAGAGTAGAAACTCAATAAGAATGATAAAGATAGGGATATATTAAAGTCTTTTATTCGGTAAGAAGGGAATGTTAAATATAAGAAAAATGAAATAAGTTTAGAAATTATGAACGAGTGGTTAGTTATAGGAGATTTTTACTTCCCATTAGCACTAAAATGGCGCACCTTAATTTAAATTGGTCTCCAGCACTGCTAAAATTTTATCTCAATGCGTTCCAAATAACTCTTCACCACTGTGGTCTTTCCGAAGCCAGAGCACAAAGGGAAATAAAATAAAATCGAACGTCAAGCGTTACTCTATCCTTAAAAGGGCTTCGGATTGGACTATAATGATGTTTACGTATGAGAAACAATACCAAATCCCAGAGGATATTTGTGCGTCGTCCTCCAGACCAGTTATATTTATGTACTCGTGAGTTTTAAAACACGTTGTGATAACAGAGCTTGCAGTGCCTTTGGAAACCAACATTTCTGAAGACCATGCCATCAGGATCAATAAGTATTACGAGCTCACAAACGAACTCTAGGAATAGGTCCGTGGTAGATTTACACGCGGGGGAAGTAGGAGCGAGAGGTATAACAGATAATCTCGCTACAACCTACTTAAATACTTGGACCTGTTTAGAACTAACATCAATTCATTCTTAGAACATAATTCGAAGGCAGCCATAGTAGGTTCCTTTCAAATTTGGTAAGGTAAAGAAGAAGTAACATTTTTAAAATGAAATATCATTATTGATTTGATTTCTAAAGATCAGAAAATACATGTTACATCACATAGCATATTGGATACAAAAAAATTAAGCCTGTATGTTATCATATTAATAACACTTGTAAAATTTAATGATAAAATAAATTCTTCGACGATGTGACAAACGATAAAATTATCACGTGTTCGCATGATATATTTTTAAACTAACAAAAAATATTTATGCAAAATAAAAATAACTTTGCATTTTTTTATATTTTACTTGTATTTAATGAAATTCTTAAATTAATATACACTGCATATAATTAAAAATAACTTCGCTTAGCATGTTTTTATCTATTCGCAATTAGCAGATTCTATGCGACTGGCACATATTCTCATGAAAGGAACATTTTCAAAGAACACGAGGCAGGCTGACTCATTTCTAATTATACGAATACCGTTTAAAAAATGGCACAAATATATTATATCTTATCAGAAATAATTGAAATTATATGGGTGTCGAGACGCCTAATCCTTATCAATAGCATGGAGCAAATCTGATAACAAAAATCCCTATCAGTAAAGGTTCAACAGTCTGGTTATTAAAAAAAAAACATAATTCACTTGGATACAAGGCAAATTAAATATTTAATATTATATATTTACTTTTAGAGCGTTTAAAATATTTTTTATTTCTAAAGAAAATTATTAAAGTAAATTTCAAAAGCTATCCTATCCATGTAGTTTGCTCTAAAAGGACTATGCAGAAAAAAATCTAAAGCCGTAAAATTGCAGGTGCTTACGAAACTAGGTCGGAATTCAAGGTCTGTTATATTGTAACGTACGTAGGCGATAATTGGATGTTCAATGGACGCTCATTGTACTAATGACCTGATAAAGAACCTATTTCATATTGTATACTTAAAATTATTCCATAAATATAACTCACTTAAGACGTTTTAATATTCTCTAATTTATATTTAAATATTTATATACACTATGAGATGAATTTACATATGTTTTTTATTTATTTACGTTTTTGAGACAAATCCTCCATTCCAATAGTTATTTTAGTATCGTTTTATTTTTAACATAATTAAGGCGGATGACGTAAAACTAGTATGAATTCTATATTAAGATATTGTTCAATTTAAACCAATGAATTGATACGATAATCGATATACATTCACAAGACGTGGTGCTACCGCAGTGCGGTTGCGGAATGCTACATCCATATGATAGATATTACTGGTTTATAATAAAAATAAATAAAAACACCTATGTATTTGCTTGTATTTTGCATAATAAGATGAATAAATTTATATAATGTATCGTCATAAACGTAAAATAAAATCAAGAAACTCCATTGTTTTTATTGAATAAATTAATATAGAGTACCATATGTAAAAAATCAAAGAATAATTTTATTAAACGTACATATGTAGGATATTATTATTAATAAATATACAAACCTACAAGAATACAAATTACAAAGGAAACACAAGAGTTAGTAACAACATTAAATTTTTCAAGCAGCTAAAATTTAAAGGAAGACTTTGGAAGTGAAAGTAACATTGCGATAACTATTATTCAACGTAACATAGTATTCCTAAAATAATACCTAGACATATATTTTTCGCAGTCGAAGTAGTCATTCAGTTCATGAAACCGGTCAAGGTCTTAAACAATCCAGTCACTCCTTAGCAGATTACGCTATCTTTATATTTTAATGACGCGGAATTATCACAACGGATGAAACATGTCGGGTTACGACTGTAAACAGTCCGTTGAAACCCCATTAGCGAGGTAAACATTGAGAAATGAGCGCTCAGATAATACTAAGTATGCTCACTCATGATGTCTGACTCGTACATTGAGAAATTTCTTATGTGAATTTTACGAAAAACATCTTATCAGTTATCACTGTTCCTTTGAAAAGTTTTTGGTATGAGGTGAGGATCTAAATGAAACTAATTTTATAAATAAAACGCGAAGTAAAATCCGAAAAATATTAGTTTCATTTAAATGAGTACTCGCGAAAATCTTACATCTCATTAGGGTGAGGATCCTTTATTTTTCATGATATGATTTCTGGCAATAGTTTATGTTAGATGTAATAACTTATGTAAAAATCAAGTAATATTTTACAATATATTTCTATATAGAAGACATTCAGTCTTTTATTCATCTATCGGATAAACGAGTTTCCTGCGGCATGCAAGAAAAACTTTTACAACTGTTTGGAAAGAAAG